GAAATGTACCGTTTCAGGATATCAAAATAGACATTTATACACCATTCGATAGAGAATTTGAAGGGCTACATTTTGCACTATTTATTTTTTGAAAACAAGAAACTTCGATTTTTTGCCTAACTTCCGGCTGGATGCCCACTGTGCCAGGGAGGCCTGGTCTTAAAATTTAACCATGTGGACTCATTCTATGTACGAAACCGTTAGCTTTCTTAGAAAAACCCAATCTTTATTGTACTAGAAGTCAATGTTACGAGGAGAGGTATTCAGAACTTTAAATATTTTTAAAAAATATGTCCTGCAAAGTTAGAATCTTTCCCATCGTAAGTAGAAAGTAGCTTGGTATGAAAGTGCAGGATCATGCCATCTGTGCCCAAAAACATATTTCAGTTTTGGAAAGGATTTTTTATATTAGTTGGAAACATTGATAGCCTGAAACGGAACATTTCCGTTGGAATTGGCTTGAAATACACGAAATGGAGAAAAACGATTTCAGCAAGGCTTATCTGGATTAAAGAGTGGTACAGGGTAGTGCAGGTGACTGTCAGCTATGTTTGTAAAGCTATGTGTTTATTCACCAAAACGTCTGCTTGATACACTGAGACTGAGAACGTTTCGTAGGAATTTTCTAGGAAACTTGGAACTTTCTATTATAATCGTTGTATATGTTAGCAAGGATTGGATACTATCACATGATCTTAGTCATATTTTTTCTAACAAAAAGCAGCACAGTAACGAACACAAGAACGAACATTTGCTCGTTCTAGCTGCTCGGCGCATAACCTTCCTTTCAGTAGAGGGAACAATTAAATGATATGCACTTACCTCGATGAGAACTGTTAATACATGCGGATGCCGGGACTAGAACAAAGAATTAGAGAACAACGTATTGATAAGCTGACATTGTTTGTCCAAATGTTGATCTAGTTTTCTCTGGAAAACACTCTTCTACCACTCAATGATTCGTATGTTACTGTTCAAGGTATGTCAGATGAAGATGGCAAAGAGCTGCATTAGAGAATATTCGAAACAGCTGAGGTTCGAGGTGCAATCTGATATTCACTATCCACATCTCATTCGTATCTAACTCCAATCCAGATATCTGCAGACTAACGCTTACAAAACATCCATTCGGTTCTTTTCGATGTGTATGCACAATAACTCAATGACAGAATAGTATGTGCATGTGTTCGACAGTGTCTTGACAACTGGAATTCTCCACAGACATTGCTGTGGTTTGGTGGCATCTCGTTGTGGATAGCACACAGATTCATAATTATCATTGTCACCCCGCTAACAATTTTCTTAACTATCACGAACACAACAACGTCTATACAAAATTTAGTGATCCAGATCAGGATCAGCAAGGCTTTCTGTATAAAATAATAAATAGAATCCACGCTGATCATCAGTCTATCTCATATTGATCTAGTTTTTTCAGCAACTAGAAATTTTCAGCAAGAACACATCAATTTCAATTATGAAAGTTTTGCAATATGCACAGGAAGCCTTCTCAGAGGTTCTGCTAGTATTGAACAAAGGTGAAAACCAGCTGAAGGTTCATAATACAGTAAAACCTCTCTAAAGTGGGCACCCTTGTGACTTTATCAAAGTGCCCACTTTAGGGAGGTTTGGGTCGCTTTCCATTAAAAAAATTTCTGATTCTAGAAAAGGGCATAATGTAAGGCTTAGGGAATAAAATGGGTAACACGTTCTTCTCTTCTTGTGATGACTTTTCTTAAAGATGATCCATTCTCTTCATTACAATCAAGATTTCTGGAAAAAGTCAGTGATGGAACACTGCTTAGCTGCTCGAGAGCCCAGATAGATATCTGTCAGTTTCGACTCTAACTTATTAACGAGCTGGTGTAGATCTGGATGCTGGGAAGATGCGAGGAGGTGCAATTTACTAACCATATCTAGTGGTCCGAGTAATTTCAGTGGTTCTTCGTCCTGATTATCCTATTCCTCGTCGATATCATGATTGCTAGCAATGTCGATCGTCAATAAGTTCTCAACTTCATCGTTCCACTCAGTGAATCCCAGCATTTCATTGTCGAGACCGACAAAAAAGAATAAAAAATCGGCAAGTACCCGCTTTAGAGAAGTATTTATCACTGTCGGGACCGGAAAAAAGTGCCCAATGCCCAGAGCAGACAGGTGCCCAGTTTAGAGAAGTGGCCACTTAAGAAGGTTTTACCGTAAGTAAATTAGATTTTTTATGCTCAGATTTGAACTGAGAGTTAACATTTCAAAAATACAATATAAAAAAAAATTTGTTATATTAATTATGTTGTGCAAGTTTTATTAATTTCTGCCTGTTTGTCAATAGTAATTCTTCAGAAGTTGTCCAATGAAAAATACCTTTCAAAAGTCCCTCCTAGTATCTTTTCTATCAGTGGCGTAATCAGGATTTTTTGACCATTAGGTCAATCCCTATTAGTTTGAAAAAAAGGACTGGGCCACCGTATGATAATTCAAGAAAAGACTTGGGCAAAAAACCTTTTTTCAAATCTTGAACTGAGAAAATCATAAAGTTCAGAATCCTATTGGGCTATGGCCCAATGACCTCCCCCCCCCCGTAGTTACGCCACTGTTTTCTATGTAACTCAATGAGCTTATCAATCTAGATATAAATTAAGATCTCTTGCATATTTGCATTTCTGGCAGTTACTTGCTCTGGTTCGCACAGGGTGAAAACAAACTTTTCGTGAATCTGATATGGAACTTACACGCAAGACTAGCACTAGGCGAGACTATCTCTCAGTATTGCTTTATTTTAGAACACTCACCTTTTTTGTAATTCGGTAGGAGAATTTGCCAGTATTCTTTTTTACTTCCGCACCTAGAATGAAAAAAATATAGAGCAAAGGTTTCGCAGAAGGCTGTATTCTATTTCTATTCTATTTACCCTTCTACAAAGTCTTGTTTTGTTATTCTTTGATCTTGGTTCTTGTTGCATGAAGAAAGAATTTCCTGAGCACGACTTATCGCTTCTTGCCTGTTCCATGGTTTCCCGAGAAGGTCACCGGTATCCATTATCATGTGAATTATTTCGTCTTTGCCGATATTTACACGTTTCTCGTAATTAAATATGTCAAATGCCTGCATAGAAAAACCCTTTTAGAAAGAATCGAGCAAGAATCACCTGATGTTCCTACTAAACCAAGACTATGCTTCAAATCATTTGATCCATGCATATCTATCCCTAAGATGTATTGGATAAAATTTAATGTATCATAATTGCGTTCAGCAAATTTCTGAAGTGCATATCGGCAGTAGTTATCTGGATCACCACTTCAATGAAAAGATTAGAAAACATATGCATAATTTTATAATCAGTTTTTGAGTAATACAACATACGATTGATATAGCGTTTTAACCGACTTGGAAAATGTTGTTCTTGTCATTTTTCCATCGGGACTAAAAAAAAGAATAGCAGGAAAACCCGTTAGTATTCATATAAGCCAATTGAAAAGCTACTTGATTGTGACCTCGAGAAAACAATAAGAAAATAGTCAAGTGCAATTTTGCTCATTTTTCGGTATTTTAATGTTCACTAATCCATTACTCAGAGAATGCGTTGCGGCACTGCTTCCTCGTTATATTTTGCTTACCATGTTTTAATAAAATCTGCATGCATTTCTTGTAGTTTTTCTGACTTCAGACCATGAATTTTATGTAAGAGATAGTCGCTTTGGTGGGAAGTTAACTCTAAATAAAATAATATATAGTTGTATTAACTAGAGAGATCTTCATTGAAGAAGATCAAGCAGCACCTGTCGGATCGTTGCTTTCGAGACCTGCAAAAGAATAACGACGTATAGTTTGATAGACGCAAATAGATAGTATTCAGACACTGCGGAACCCCGGATTAAACTCTGCTAATATCGGTTCGAGAAAAACAGAAGCAGATGGAACGGAACTTGTTTTTCTCCTCCAGTTCGTCTTATCTCCTCGCAGCATATTGGGTAATCAAGTGGACATTAGACGGAAAATCGAAAGTACAATTTCAAAAGATTCAAATAGTGTTATGTATACGTCCAACTACGGACTATTTAATGGCATGCAATTTTTTGTTATTAGTTTAGGTAGTGTGAAAAATCAGCTGATTAACAGTTTGGGCGTAGGTGTAGATGCAACTGTGAGAGTATTCACTCACACCCACTTAAACCAAGACAATGAGTTTTGGAATCAAGTCCGCAGAGGAATCCAACAGGATGTTACTCGAATCTTAATCTAACTTCGCCGACGACAATTTTTGCTTCATACATTTCAAGATTATTTTTGTCATTGAGAGTTGTAAAAGCCCTTGTTAAATTAGGTTTCATTGCACGATTCGAAATGTACTTACCACATTGTACGCGTTCAATTTCCTCTTTAATCAATGGATGATAGTCATAGTGTTGGGCCTCCTGTAGCGATGCTTCTTTGAGTAAATGTGCTGCTTTTTTCATTTTTTGTTGAGCTGAGTATTTTTCTTGTGTTAGAATAATTTCCCAAATCGGAATAAATGATGTTAAATCACCACGATCGATCACGTGCCACGAGGAGTTGTTTGAATGTAACATTATTTTGAATAGATCTGAATTATTCATTGGTGGACCCAAATAATCTATTTTTATATCTGATGTTGATATTTTTTTAATGTTCTGTGTTCCTTTTGTTTTCCCGTATGCATTGGACACTCCAACAGTACAACCAGCTCCACCACTGAACCCCTGACTTTCTACACCGACGCTCATCTTTGCATCCATTTTGCTTGCAGCCAATTTAAGCAATTCTTGTACATCGGTCTCTTCTTCTGCTGCGACCTCGACTTTACGTATAAATATTCCTCCAATATGTTGCTTCCCTTCACACACATGCGATTGAAATTCTTTTAAAAAATGTCTTGCTTTTACCAAATCGTCAACATTGATCAGTTCATTTTTGGCTCCCGTTGATAGTATCATCTCTTCGCGAGGTATTTCAAAACATTTTATTGGTACAATTGCGCATTCCATTTCAATTGCCACGCTCGATTGTGTCTTTTTTTGTGTAGATGATTCTGAATTCTTGTTTGAACTGACAGTAAAGCTCCCATCTGCGTGTAAACCCGGGAAAGAGAATCCAATATGAGTAGCAGCCGTAAAACCAGTCGTTTTTATTGTTTTTACGAAACGATTTGATGCTTCGAAACTTGTAAAGCTTTTTCGCTGTGTATAACCTGCCATTGCAGAACTTTTAAGTAGACAATAAGTTGGGCAAGCCAACAATTGACGTTTTGCTGTTATTCCCAATTCTGTCGGATTTGCGAAGTGTATGCCGTTGAGTGCGATTCCACCACTAATTTTATTAACAAGATCTTCATCCGATTTGCAGACGTCGCCCAAATTCAGTTGCACATTCATTTGGTTCAGATCATTTAGAACTTGGCGTACTGCTTCTTTGGGAGTATTCAACTCAGTTTCAGTAAACTGCCAATCAACCTTGAGTGTTCTTCTAAGTTCGTCCACTAGAGTTCTTACTTGATCTTTATTATCAGTAAGGTCTCCTTCCAAGCTTTTCTTGACATTTTCGGCATTTTGTATTGCAGCTTCTGTAAGTATTTTGTGTTCTTCATATTCTTTCCTCTTCTCTTTACTCTGACGGCTTTCTTTCTTTGTCATCTCAGATATTCTTTTTTTAAACTGAGCATGCGTATTACGGATGTTATCCTTTTCTTTCTTTTCGATTTTGGCGTCTTTCAGTTTTTCATCTATTTTGTCTATATCCATTTGTACGAGTTCATCAAGAGCTTCATCCGTCAATTGATCAGATCGATTTATACCTTGTTCTTTCAATTTATCAAATAATGACGGTGGTAGGTCGTATTCGTTCATCTTCATTCGCAGTTCGTTTCCTTCCATCCACACTTTTTCCATTATTTGCTTTAGAAAATCTTGATCATCTTGGAGCTCTGAGAAATATTTAGAAACTAGTTTGTCGTATGATAATGAACGAAATGATAATGGATTAGGATGTTTCTTACAAATGGAATCAAGTAACTTATTCGAACTTTCATCAATCATCGGCCAGTCACGTTGGAGAAATTGGTATCTTAGTTGTAATTGCGATTTTACTGTTGTGACAAGAGCTTCGTCCCATGGCAAAGTGTTCGATTGATTAGTACCGAAAATAGTCATGGTTAAAACGTTGACGGTTGTAATATATTTGGATTTGAGCTGTTTAAGTTTTTCACTTGCGCCCAACGGATTCATCAAATTGAACAGTTCAAGTTCAGCATTTTGTCGACAATCTGATACGATATCATTTTTATTATTGTCACTTGATTTTAGTTTAGATTGTTTTTCAGGATTAGATTGATCTACTTGCTCAGCATTCGGCTCTAATTCATTGTTATCGTCGTCCTTACTTTTCAATGATTCTTTGTTAAGCTATAGATAGAAAAATAGAAACAGATTTTATTTACTCATCTCGCGTTGAATTCTTTTAATAGCGATGTGTCAGACTGCAAGTCTGGATATTACGAATCGTACAACTAAGCCTTCGAGTAAATTAGAAACTTATTCAGATACATGAGGGTGTGTGTAAATGAGGTTGATAGTTTAAAGAGAACTCTCACCGATCCACACTCACCATACCCTAACTGATGCCCTCATCTACTCTCAAGTTTTCAAAAGGATTCAGCAAACGAGTAGTTTTCATTTGACGTGTAAATTCATCATAATGGCCAAGAATATGAATTTAAATACTTGCGGAACACTAATACCGTCTGCGTCAATTTTGTCAAGACCAATATTCATCATTAATCAAGTTGAGATTTTTAGAGTAGATCGCTAAGTGGACTTATAATCTGACGGCACTGATTCCAGCGCTGTTTCTATGACAAAAAACCTTTCGCACTGCTTGTGATTCTACCATCGAACTAATATATACAACTTTTCTTTTGCGCCTGTGCTATCTCTCTGGTTCACATTCGTCATCTAGATGTAAGCTTCACGTAGGAAGCGAGTAGCTCAGAGAGAAAGTTGATGACATCACTTGGAATGCTGGCGCCACAATCGATACGGAATGACTATAGTCATTGAAATAGTGTCGGACATTTGTTGCACTCCACCCTGAAAAATTGCGCTTGATCAGTGACTGGAGAGAGAAGTAAATAATATTCTGCTTTCACATTCCTGTATTTTACAGAAAACTAATTATTACAGTCAGACATCCGATGATGAGCGCTTCTATTCAGTGAATATGTACTACTTTTTAAAACTGATATATCTTTTTCCCTACAATCAAAATCAATATCTGTATAGTTGACATCTGGGCGCAGTCTAGCAGATGTGTAAAAATCTTGTTTACACTAGAAAATAGAAATACCGTTGTCTACTGCCACCCGAAAGGTTTTGCAGTGACATTAAATCCCGTCAGTAAAGCTGTGGAAAAGAGGGTTTTCTAAGGCGTGCCTGTTGATAAATATAATACTTTCATTACTGATGCAAAGATTAGTAGATGAGGGATCTCTGCACGAACAAGAATACATGAAAGAAGCACATTATAAACAGCAACAGCAGTACCTATGGCAGTACGTTTTTCTCCTATTGGTGCTTCATTCTCAGTCCATCAAAACAACACCGATTGAAAGTATTTATCACGGTGGACAAGTCCATGCATCAGAATTTGAAACATAGCCATGTAAGATATGTAAGAGATACAACTCTATGTAACTTTATGAAAATGAACCCTGTAGAGCGTCTGCGATCAGAAAACTGGTCCTAGTGACCGCTTACTTCACTCAAGAGGTCAATTTCTGATGCATTTATATTCAATGAAAACTTCGTAAAAGTGAACACTGCAGAAAAAGTCTAGCAACCCCCACTAACAAGAGGTTTGATTGCGAATCTATGAATATCACGTTTGATCACTAGGGGAGCTGGTCAAACCGACTGATCGCGTGATCAAACTCTAAAGGACAAGTGGCGGTAAGGCCATTTTTCCGCCCCCAATATTTTTGAAAAAAAACTACATGGTTAGAATCAACATTAAATTCTGAACAAAACTATGTCTTTTTTTTGAAAAAATTTCCGCCTTGGCCCCAGACAGATTGAAAGTTTGACTAGTATATAATTGCAGTTTATTTGACTAGAAACTGAAAAAAACAGAAAAAAAGGCATATATACTACTACATGTAAGCCATGTTTTTTCTAACGAGCTTTCTATCCAAAGAGCTATATATTCAGATCTATGCAGTGTCTCAAGATCTATCCGAATACGACCTTGGAACTTGAAAACAAGTTGCGGAAAGTGGCGAAAATTGAAAAAAAACCTGATAAAAGAACACTGTTTTTCAACTTTTCAACGTGCTTTATCAACCAAGTTAATTTTTTTCCGATATTAATTGTATAAATATAGATAGATTATTTTGAATTCTTTCTTCATCGAAAATGATCTTTTTAGTTAATTAAAAAATTCGCCTGCAGTCCCCCTGACGAGATCTCTGGGAAAGGCTGAAACCGGTTCTACCGATAGCCGGTCGGGGAGAATCCGCCGAGATATTCTATTAAAGTGATACGACTTTGACTCATCTACTTCTTGAACACTATCTTTGAAACAAAACTTACTAAATTAAACTACCATATCTGGATCTCGACTTCTCTCCCTGGTTAATTTACTGCTTGGAAGTAAAATAATCAGTTTAAACTAATCCGCTTTTCTTTCAAAGCTCAAACCCAAAAGTCCTAGTGGGACTATCTTTTACTTTTAGACGTCAAGTTTTAGTTTCTCAACATTTAACGATGGAGAAATCAAATAAACGTTCATGTTATTCATGTGAAAAGAATTTTCGTGATACCGAACGAATACGGCCATTAAAAAATTATCAAACATCATATGATTTTGTAATGACAAATAAATTAATTCACCACTACTTACGCAAGTAACGCTCGTCGCTTGGACTCGCCTAATCCTCGACTGAATAGTTAAGACTATTTGTATTTCACCTTGTGGAGGGAACTGGGGACAATGTCAGTTGAAGCCACACATCCGTTACAATACTATTTTGATGGTCTATAATAGTATAGGAAATACCCGAATCAGCTGCTAGCTTTCTCTACATAACATTTTCAAAATTTTTATACAGAAAAGGGACGAGATATCCGCAAACCGACATCGAGGTAGTTATACACTCATGGAGTACTTTCATTTTTTATGAGGTTTTTAGAGTGGAATAAATTTTGTGATTTCTGACCAGCACCTTTTGAGGATTTTTTGAAATTTTTACTTTGCAGTTCTGCCACCTGATAAGGCCCTCAAGCTAGGCCGAAACGCGTCGTGGTAGCTTTCATGAAACCTCAACCACCGAGATGAAACGAACCGGTCGGTACTAGTTCTATCTATTATTACCCTATATTACGGTCCTGTTGGCTTTATAATAATAGGAATAGCGACAGAAACAAGTTCTAACGCTCTAACGCTAGACAGGCATCCGACCGATAGATCGGCGTCCCACCGGTAGACCAGCCGGTCTAAAATCTCTACCAACGTATAACGGCCGGTCGCCGGTACCGGTTCCATCTATGAAAGGGGATAGTTTAAGGGAGATAGCTTAAGGAAGGAGTATACTTTAAGGGAGGGAAGCCGATAGTTTAATGGGGGAGGGGGTAGTTTAAGTCGAATAGTTTACGTGGAATAGTCTAAGGTGGATAGCTTAAGGGAGGATAGTTTAAGGGGATTAGCTTAAGGGGGAAGGGGATACTTTAAGGAGGAAGGGATAGTTTAATGGGAATAGCTTGACGGAGGATACCTTATGGGTGTTTAGCTTAAGGGGAAGAGCTACAATAAGATTCGACAGGATTTGATGAATACCGACGTCGAATCCGACTGGTTTCAGTGTACATACATTTATGTATACGAGCACATGAATTTCTGAGTTTCTGAGTTCCTGACTTCATATATATGCACATACACATACTTGGTGATTTAATTATCATTTTAGACTCTCAACATTAGTGCAATTGTCCGAGCTATGAACTCTACTAATTATGGTAGTTTTGACTTTCTTCAGATTGATTTTGCTATACTTCTGACCAATTATGCTCTAGATTAGACTAATTGTAAGTAGAAGTTGACTAATGTTTTGCCGATGTATACACGCTTTAAGCTTGAATTACTTGAAAAGAAAGGCTGCCAACCCCAGAGTGCTATATTATCGGCAACCGTTACCGATTCTTATAGTTAAAGTCGGTTGAAGCTGCGTTCTGCTCATTTCAAACTGTTACCGACTACCGTGCTACAGACAAGGTCTCCTTATCGATATAGTTGGGCAAGTACATTCCGATGCTAACAGACCATCGAGTCTGACCCATCAACTACTGAAGAAGAAAAACAAATGCATCTCAATCATTTCTCATTGACCAAAAACCGTGCGGAAAATTCGTATGAGAACCACGTAAGTGCTGAGTTTCCCCTTTGAAAAACGTGCAGAATTCGAAGCGAATTCTCGTCGGATACCCACATCGAAAAAGAGCTGCCTCAAAATGTGTGTGCCCTTCACCCTAACCCTCATCGAAACGTCTGCCCATCGGTTCACTTTCGATCACACCCTCACCCACAATGGGCATTTTTTGCTAGAGCAGGCGGACTTTAGCTTTATGAGTGAATTAAAATTTCATGAACCAGTTTTTTATAGGTTTTTCATGCTCCTCTTTCTAATGGCATGAGAGTTGGGTTTTGAAAAAGTTTTCTAAGGAGTTTCCCAGAGATCCGATCTCTGAAAAACCCTTCAGAAAACTTTCTCAATATGTAAAAACGATGCCACTGGAAAGAGCATTGTCGAAAACCTATAAGAAACATGTTTCGAGTCGTTCAGGTTACTTTATCTTGAAATTCAAATTTTCAGCACG